ATGAGTGGTTGTTTAGATATCAGTGGAACAGTCATGGAACCACTAAAAAATAGCTAATTATCATGCAAATTAGGTAATTAATATGCACGGATTTTTACCAAAAACTAATCAAATCTGCACATATGTTCAGAGCATCTATGCACCAAGTTTCATCAAAAACTGATGTATGGTTCTTGAGATAGCAGTGGAACAGACGGACACACATACACACACACACACACATACAGACACACTAACTGCAAAGACTCCCTTTTTGTGCTTCGCACACGGGAGTCAAAAATAAAACACTGACACGGACGACGACTGACAATCACTCATATGAAAATCAACATGTATGATACTTACTCTGGCTTATCTGTAATCGTCCAATTGTATGAAAAACAAAAGATATAACAAATTATTACAGAAATAAAATGATTACTGAAACAGACATTTCAGTGAATTGATTTCACTTAAAACAGACAAATAACTTTACTTTTCTTCAGTATTGTGTATATGTTATCACTGATTAAGCTTTTTTTTAGTCTTGGGACGACTATGCAACATATTCATTAGCATGAATATATTCAAATTACTATGATCACCAACATTAACCTTTTCACAACCAGACTTTTTTTGTATTTTTTTCTTATATTCTTCAATATTTCTGGAAATGAACCCTATTTTTGGAGCCAACAGGCAACATTTGAGTCAATTTTCAGATTTTACTCAAAAAAATTGTCAATTTTTTTCCCAATCCACTAAGGAAAGAATCTATAAACAGGACTATTTTGTGAATTTGTGATGAAAAGAAGGAACTGGTGGTAAAAAGGTTAAGTAAGACACACACAAAATCATTGAAAAAGTGAATGTTCAGTAAATATTGCTCGCAAAGGGAAACAAAAATTAGATCATCTGAAATTGCACATAATAGTCGTGAGAGAGCAAATTTGAAAAGCTATATTGGCCGAACAGTTGGGAAATTTAAAAACTCACCAAAAAAAGTTTGGAAAACAAAGCACTATGGTAGTACCTGCCAAGATGTTTGTATGCTGAGAAAACAACGCATACATGAGCATAACTGGAATAACTGTAAACTCACCAGACACTGAAATTATCGCTTTATTTGAGCAAATGCTGCCAAGTATATTAGCAGCGCAACACGTATATATCATTTGTCCTGTTATGGTAACATGCAGAATAGGTGAATTGCTATCCTGAAAAAATAAACATAATAGACATCAATTAAACCAAAAGTTTTGCTTGCTACGTGGTACTATGTCGCCCCCTTACTACCACTTTCAAAAATCTATTGTTTATGAGCAACAAACTTTCTGTTCCAGTCAGTACTTTGCAAGCAAAAAAAAAGACTATAAAATACTGTAAGGGGGTTAATTATTCACTGGGTTTCATTTTTGCTTATTTTGCAGACTGAAAAAAGAGCTAAATAAAAACCCAGTGAATATGTAAAATTTAGCATAGAACACATTATCTAAATGATAAAACCATGAATTTAAAACCCACTGAATATGCCTGAAATGGTAAATCAGCGAAATTTAAACCCAGTGAAAATTTTACATTTTACTGTATTAGCCAGCCATTCCCCCCACAACCTAAAAGCTATGATTAGCTGAGTTGAATTTTTGAGTTAATTATTTAGATGCTACAATAGATTTGAGGGAATTGTGACAAAAACTAAGTGATAATCACTGAAAAGAGGGCTTTCGATAGCATTAAAGTTATTCTTTTCACAGAAATCTTGACACATGCAATCATTAAAAGTTCAGCATACAATGTACACGCAGCACTACTATGATATTAATAGTTGTAAAATGCCAAAAAAAAACGATCAGCTTTTTGATCTCCAAACAGTGAAATATGCAGACTTTATTATTGTACCAAATGCTAATTAAGAGAAATTATTATTGCCATATTTCTAGGCCCATTATACAATCACAAAGGGAGTTTAAAGTCCCTTTTGACGAAAGGACATTCTCCTAAATAACAAGTAAGCTTGGCAAGTGGGCATTATGTACTCTTTGTATGTACTGACCATAATCTGTCAAACCTGCAATCACATTGACGCTCAGTGGAAATGCTAATAATAGCGCCAAAAAGAATGCAATGTGTCGTCATAATGTATTTATTCACTGGCAGAGAGACATAATGTACTACTCACTGGAATAGTTATACCATGCTCCATCCACCAAATATTCGGTTCCGGCACTCCAAAAACTTCACATAGGATATCAACGACAGTGCCATACTCTACGCTAACACTTGATGGCCCATGGATAATTCGAACAGGAACTGAAAGAATTAAGTCAAAAATATTAATGAAATACAGAAACATTCAACTTGATGATGACAATCAGATTTTAGATTTTGTAGATCATATGATATGATAGAAATGTACACTGTAAATCACTTTGATGTGGCGACATAAGTTTTGGGCAAATATAACAATACAATGGCTTGGAATTGTCTTCAAGTGACATCACACGTCTGCAGCTAGTTGATACTTTCAAAATTTTAATACATAAACCAAATTTGAATAAATAAACAAAATTCAGTCTGATTTGGCATTCTGACAGACAACTTAGATATCCTATAAATTGGTTGTTACATTACCATTGAGAACAGAAAAAAAGAAGTTATATACCTGTAGGTTAGTTTACATGAGGCATTTCGAGGCAATGCGGTCACAAGGCAGCGAACCACAGTAACAAGTTGCCTGAAAAACGTTGTGATAATTTTTCAGGCAACTTTATCTGAATTACCTTGGCGACCCAATTATATCACACACAGAAATCAACTCATGAACTATCTTGGGTGAACTGACCTTAAGGCAGTGAAGTCTAGAACTTCCACAAAATTACACACTCACAAGTCTCAAATATCAAATCCCATAGTCATTTTACTTATTACATATGTATGAAGTTTAGTTTTACTTGACCACACTTTTTGTAATAACAAAATGAAAAAACACATTATGAAATTCAAGAAAATGGTTGAAGCCTGAAGTGTGAGGGCACCCTTTCAGTTCGTTGACCTTTTCAATTAAGTTGTGTTTTCTAGGCATTGCTGAGTGGTGAGATTCTTACCACCAATTGCCACCAATTTCTTAGTCAGGGTGTTAACAGAATTATGCGAAAATTATTACAATTCCCTGTCTCAAGAACCACAGTGTTACGTTATTGCAAAAGTTATTGCAGCCCCTTGATTCAAAGACAAAATAAAATTTCACGATGTTCTTTGAATTTTGTTTCCCATATTAAAGTGGTCTCCTGTACGTCTTGATGCACTAAGTGGTTCCTGTACACAATTCCAGCCTTCTTACACATGTACTAGAACGATGGTAATAATATTATATTTATTTTAATATTCTGTTATCTGGAATAAAAAAATGATGAAGGTTCGTCTAATTGGTGGATCTCCAATAAAAAAAGGCGTAAACTTTAACCTATGACCCCAATGATATTTACAAATTTGGCACTTACCCTGTACGGTTAGATATGCAGGTTCAGAATGTGCAATGCCAGCACTGCTATACGCATCACATGTATAACTCCCTGCGTCGTCTTCTTTGACACTTTTGATTTTAAGGTTACCCCTTTTCATAATGATATCTGGATTGTTCGCGGGTAGTATATCCACGCCATCTTTCTGCCATCGTATCGTTGGTTCTGGGTCTCCACTCGCAGAGCAGTGAAACACTACTTTAGAAGACACCAGACTTGTCACATTCTTTGGATGACTCCGTATATGGGGCACTAAAACAGAACAACAGGAAATAAATGAAGTTTTCATCCACATGCGACTAAATAAACAAGCGACCTGGTGGTAGAAATAGCTCTGCTGTCTTCAGTAAAGTGGCATTGTGGTTGTAATATTCATAGTCAGTCATTTAGAGAACATTGCACTTGAGTTACAGTTGCAAATATGAATTTTTATAGTGTTCATAAGGATAGTGCATTTCATTGGACAAACATCATTGAGGCTAAACTTAAGAAATCGTGGGTGTGCAAAAACCTGAGAAATAGTTGGGGGGGGGGTATGTTTTTGTTTGAAAATTTTGGTCATGTTTTGGAAATGTTATCCTTCCTAATAACCTTATAAATATACGTAAGTCCAAATGCTTTCATTTTTCAAGCAATGATACGTGGGGTGGTCACTCTGTCAGATTCGATAGCAAAAATTAATTCCAAGGGAAAATAAAATATTTTACAGTAAGCAATTTTATACAGAATTGTGCACTGAGGTATAAATAAAATTATGATTGAAAGAAGTGAAAACATTTTTGGTAAACAATATGCTAGTCAGCCATTTTGAATTGATCTGTGCCACTGACACTTTCATCTCTGTGAAACTACAATAATAAACAAAAAGAACAAAAACAAAAAATGTTGATTTACACAATACGATTGCCATCAGTCAGTCAATTTCAACCAAATTCAAAGTCTGAACAAAATTTTTTTTTTTTGGACTTAGAAATTAAAAGAAACTGCTTTGCATTGTAAAACCTGTTTGTAAGTACTTTACCTCGCTTTTTGTATTCTGGATCAAATGGGCATGCATGTAATTTCCCATTGTTAACAGGTCTTGATCAATTTTTTTAAATATGGAAAATACTACGCAGGTTTATTTTTCAAGGTGACAAAAATAGACATTGTTATTCAAAACTTTTCCATCTCTATTTTTACTTTCTTCTTTGAAAGAACCGCAAATACAACGAGTGTGTGTGTGGCCTGGCATCACGTCTTGTACATGTACCAGTTACTAGGCAGCCGTGTTTGCTAAAATAGCTGTATGATCAAAATAACGCCATAAAAGTTATTTGTGTGCCTGGAGGTTCCAAACTGCCGAGGGCATAATAAATTATGTCTGAATTGGTGATTGATGCATGACGCTAGTCAACACAAACAAACTGCTTTTCTGACTTGAAAAACAATCACTATTTGCGCCCAAAAAAAAATGTCAAATTTTCCATTTTATAACAGAATTTTTAACAAATTTATCATTTTTGTGTCCCTACTACGGTAGTTAGTATCAAACATATATTCCATGATGGACAATAAACCAGTTTTAGCAACACTGGTCAGTTGGCTAAAAATAATATTTGCCCATTTGAGCAAATTAGTAGGCTATTTTAAAATAGATTTTTGTGTTTTACTGTAAAATACTTTATTGTAGCTGGAATTAATTTTTGCTGAAAAAACTTTTTTGGGGTTTTGTATGGAATTTATTTTCACTGATTTTTGACAAGTTGAATGTAAAATATAGGAAAAAAGGTATACTCGCTGGATTTTATTTACAATGAATCATTCCTTTAGCGAAAAGAGTGAAAATTAATTACTTTACAGTATTAATCTCAGTAATTGACAACTTGTACCACATTATATCCATTGGTTTTCAGGTGATATACGTTACTGCATAGAAATCTGATCGGAATTCACCAATGGCGACTGGCAGAGCATGTGGTTCCTGTTGTAAAATGCTCAAGGCTTTAAAAACTGCAGGATAATACTTTAACAAGGACAGTTGAGGATATTCGAATTACAACCATTGTGATGATATACTCATATGCAAATTAAATTATATGTAAATTAAACCCCCAACCATATGCAAATAATTCGGCATGCTCAAGGGTATACCAATCAGGCTAGGGAGAACTCTGCATAGGGGTCATTATATGGCATTGTACCCTAGTCTGGCTACTTCATTGTAACATAGTCTGGGTCCCAATAATGATGTGCCTAATCTTTATAAATACTTTGGTTCAAAAATGCCTGCACTATCTGCAAACCACCCACAACATATACCATATTTGTCTTCAGTTAAGCGCCACCTTCAATTAGGCGCCAGAGCCAAGAAAACATCGAATTTTACACCCCAATTATGTGCCAGAGAGTTGAAATTTTGGCATGTAATGATCGTGAATTGGGCGCCGGTGGATCGACTATCGGTTACCGGTTAGTAGCGATAGACACGATCGCGGAAGTCTCTCACTGCTACTGTACTATGGGCTTTTATGCAAAAAATTTGGTTTTGTTTCTAACAAATTTTAAGAAATCAGTCTATAATCTCTTGAAACATGTCTCTTTGGTCTACTGTAGATGTAGAAAATATTCGCATGGTTTTTAATTTAGTGAATTTCGCAGTAGGTCCATAAACACAAAATTAAAACTATGCGAAAATGTTCCGTTTCAAATGAACTGTTATCACAGAAAACAATGTTAAATTATTCTTTAAATGCTCAATTTAACTTTCCAATAATAACTAATTTCTTGATTTGAAAAAAAAAAAATCATGCCGTTTTCCCACCAAAATCAAAGCCAAAAGATCGCAAACATCAACAAATCTCCTCTGTGTTGCATTGATACATTATTTAAATGAGCTATGGTAATTTGATCATGTTGGCATCATCTATCATTTTGATTGGTTAATTAACGACTTGACCTATCAGGTCAAAGAACACGAAGCAAGAAGCATGGCAGATATCGAATCCCATCAAGCATTTACATGCGACTGAAATCATTTGCTTACGATGAAATTTAGGTTGAATTTTACTTACATTTTATTTTTTGTACGATATTATAACTACTACTGAGTAATAATGGCAACTGCGGACTGTAGCATGATCGGATTTCGCTACCGTGATCATTTACTACTAAGCGATGCATTTGTCTTTTATTTTTCTGTTGATAGTACTGCAAACTGTCACTGCTTCCTAAAGGATGATACTTTTTGTATAATATTCTAGACTGTCTGAAAACAGTATTTAAAATAAAGGCTACAGTGACTAAGATGGGACTGTAATGTAAAATATTGCCAATAATGTATCACCAGAATGGAGCAAGAACAATGGCTTGATGAAACACAGTTACCAGTACTAGAACTGGTGCTTGAAATAAGTGCCATTTGAAACAAAGTTGTCTAAATTTAACCACAAATAATGCCACCATGAAATGAAAGTGCAACAAAGTGGTGCCTATAACTGAATAAGGTAGAATGTAATGTGTAGAGCTTTCAATGTCTTAACTAAATCTGTAAATAGAGAAGGTTAAGAACCTGATGTATTTGTTTCTTAGACAGCTTCACTATTCATATGAGCAACATTTTGTAATGAAATGTCCAGCTTACAGTCACCACAGGGACAAATTATTCCTGACTGCACAAAATAAAGTTCCAAATTTTGATAAAGAAAGTCAGAATAAATTCATATTTATTCTGGGAAACCTTAGCTGTCTTCTTAAAAAACAGCTATGAAACAAAACAGCAACAACTATCAGTGTATTTAGGTTACATTTTGTGTTCATTTCATATTCTGTATTCACCATTGGCTGCAAATTGTTTTTATTTATTCATATTTGTTTTTGATTTGTTTTATATTTTTAGAATAGGTTTTTTTTTTCTTTTTAGATTTATAGTTTTTAAATTTCTTTCTGTAAGACCCTTTTTATCCTTTCCTAAGGATTTTATGCGTCTAATAAAATATATTATGAAGTGTCTAATTGGACTCCAGTTTTCAGCATGACACATTTTATGCAAATAATGATAAGTCAAAAATTAACTGGACAAAGCCAGAGACCAAAAATTGGTACAAACCTGTTAACCACAAAGATGGTATTTCAAAAACCTTTTAAATTTTGAGTAACCAAAAATCAAATCAGATAATGATGGCGACCCACAATTTATATCGATTTACATCTGAGGTATTGACAAAAGTTACTTATTGTCTTCACAACTATGAATCCCATCATGCATTGCTGTTCGAATTGCTTCATGTGTGCTAACACAACTTAGGAAATGCATAATGTTTAAAGTGCAGGGAGTTCTGTTGTCAGAAAATTAGCTTAAAACACCATACATCATTTTATCAAAAATAGCAACTACAAACTCACCATATTTTGGGGGTAAAACAGTCAACTAAACAGAAAATACTAAGGGCCTCTGAATAACTGTCAGATACTATATTTCAGCTGCAATTATTTTTCGTTGGAAAGACGTTTTTGGGCGTTTTATATGGAATTTATTTTTCACTGATTTTTGGTGAGTTGAATGTAAAATGGACAAAAAAGAATAATTTTCGCTGAAAACTTTTTTGGTGTTTTGTATGGAATTTATTTTCACTGATTTTTGACTAGTTGAATGAAAAATAGAAGGAAAAAGGTATATTCGCCGGATTTTATTTTTAAATTAATTTCAAGCGAAAATAAAGTATTTTACAGTATGCTAAACACAAAATTACAACAGAATCTATGGAACTGTCTGCTTATTGGCAAACACCTCTGTCACATAGATTTTGTGAAACTTACAGCTGTTGCATTTATTACATGTCAGAACACAAATTTTGCAGACGATACAACTTTTATAATTATCACTAGACAATTTGTCTTAATCTGTTCCTGTCATTTTGATTCTTAATTAATAGCATGAATTTCCAAGCATTTTTGACCAATTTTGTATATAACATTTTTAGGTTATGTTTGTGTTGATAACTTTACTATTTTAAAATACAATGTTGGTTTTGGCTGGCAGGCAGGCTACACGTGTAATATAAACTATTTAAAGACCGCGAGTGTCACGATTTGTCAATTTAATAGCGCTTGCAGAAACATAATTGTGCGTAAGTCACTTTGACTCTGTTTTTTTAGGACACCGATGAAATTTCACGATTTTCACCGACTCCAAGACTTTCGTGTATTTTGTATCTCTCGAAAAGTAAAGCAGTTTACTGTATTAATTATGAATGATTTGTGAATTAAGTGCAATATACAAAAAATATTTACTATGAATTCCATAATTTTTATTTAACACAGATTTATCACAAAACGCAGATTAATCACACAAAAAAAATCATCATTATTTTTATATTGTATTTATTCACCCATGTAATTGTATAATAAAACAGTATCAACATTAGGGATGAATATAGAAGCAACCTTTGACAAAACAACCCTCTATCCTACTACGAGTATTAAACTCAATAAGACTACTGTAAAATGACTAATTTTCACTGGGTTTAAATTTCACTGATTTACCATCTCAGGCATATTCAGTGGATTTTAAATTCACATTTTTATCATTTAGATAATGTGTTCTATGCTAAATTTTACATATTCAATGGGTTTTAATTTAGCGCATTTTGCAGTCAGCGAAATTATCAAAATTAAAACCCAGTGAAGAATTAACCCTTTTACAGTATAAACATGTTTGTTGTATATTTCCTCCAATAATTCTGCAACATCGCCACATTTAAATAATTTGATAACCACATTCTTTTTCCTTGGCAAACATGACTATATAATTAAGACATGGCTGAATTTCATGGGAGTGAGAGATTCAGAAATACTATTTCTAGAAGTAGTCTATACATTAATCACCATGACTGAAAATTAGGACAGTTAGTAATGTCTGGGGTGGTTTTACAAATAACCAGGCCAGTTCAGTTAACAGTTTGTGTGTCCAAAGTACAAAGGTCAAGGTCATATTTTACAATGCAAAAATACCCTGATCTTTTTTACCCCCCCCCCCCCTCTCATGCATTGGTAATGCGTTCTATACAACAATGGAACCTGGTATTTCAAGTATTTTGTTTGTGGGCAGACTAAGTAGCCTTTCAGACAGAGCAAGGGTGAAACTAGGCGGTGGTTACAAATGCCTTCTACACAATATGAACGAATCAAAATATCTCAAATATATGTTGTTGTTTTTTTTTTTACATCGAGAAACTAATCACGTGAAACTGAATCATACATTTGCTAGCGTCTATCCTGACTGCATGTTTCTTTTGGCTGCCATCCAAATGGGGAGAACAACGGTATATACACTAAACGCGACTATAAAGGAAGTTGTCGAACTCTGGATGAACAAATACTCTATGGAGCTGCTCGGAAGGAGAGACGGCGTACAAATAGCTTTTATTCCTTACCTGTATTGGAAACTTCCTGCGATGGTTTGGCGATAGTAGGCAAGAATGCGATTGGAACAGAAAGCCCAGTGACAAGCTCTGTAGAAGTGCCATTTTCATCATACGGTGGTAAAACTGAGCCAAAAAAAAAAAAAAAATTAGTCATTCATCGCAGCTGTGTTTTATATGCATAGAGATTTAACAACTGGTACATATCTATGGCTGTTGCTAAAACAGTATCACATATCAGTTACAAACAAATACATCTATTTATTCCACAACAGTGTTACATTATTATGTACATTTGAATTGAAGACTAAAATTGAGCAAGATAGTTTCCGGGGCTGTCTCCCCATTATAAAATTTATACAGTCCTTTCAGAAAGACCAGTTTTAATTGAGAATGAAAGGAAATTTAATTATTACAAAATTAAATGCATGGTTTGCGTCTTTTTAAACCAGAGTAATTCTACATATTTCAAAAGTTATTTCGCGTTAAAATGTCCCTTCCCCCTGATAAAAATTTTTATTATCAGCTATGCAAATAAAGAAACAACTAATCATGTCAACAATTTGCTTTCAAAAATGTATAAGTTATAAAGTTGCATGTTCTTGTAAAACATAAAAAAAAAATCATCTTTTCACAGATTGCATGCTCCCATTCATTTTCAGTGAAAAAAGACAATGTGAAATAGACTACAAGTAACACGATCTTTAAGTTAATACTACTAGCCTATGTACTATATTTTTTTCTTGATAATGACCATAGCCACTTGTTGAATCACTGAGTTTCTATGTCACACCCAAACTCTACAAGTTAACTTAACCATGATACATCTACAAATAAACTTGGTCTATAATGCTTGAGAACAGGAAATGAGTCTTTTGGGTGTACACTGTTGTTTAGAGTAGGTGGTCTGAATCCATGGCACCAGGGAAGCCCTACCCCTAACAAGTTGTACCAGGGAAGCCCTACCCATTACAAGTTGTACCAGGGAAGCCCTACCCATTACAAGTTGTACCAGGGAAGCCCTACCCATTACAAGTTGTACCAGGGAAGTCCTACCCACTACAAGTTGTACCAGGGAAGCCCTACCCATTACAAGTTGTACCAGGGAAGCCCTACCCCTTACAAGTTGTACCAGGGAAGCCCTACCCATTACAAGTTGTACCAGGGAAGTCCTACCCATTACAAGTTGTACCAGGGAAGCCCTACCCATTACAAGTTGTACGAGGGAAGCCCTACCCATTACAAGTTGTACGAGGGAAGCCCTACCCATTACAAGTTGTACCAGGGAAGCCCTACCCATTACAAGTTGTACCAGGGAAGCCCTACCCATTACAAGTTTTACCAGGGAAGCCCTACCCATTACAAGTTGTACCAGGGAAGCCCTACCTATTACAAGTTGTACCAGGGAAGCCCTACCCATTACAAGTTGTACCAGGGAAGCCCTACCCATTACAAGTTGTACCAGGGAAGCCCTACCCATTACAAGTTGTACCAGGGAAGCCCTACCCATTACAAGTTGTACCAGGGAAGCCCTACCCATTACAAGTTGTACCAGGGAAGCCCTACCTATTACAAGTTGTACCAGGGAAGCCCTACCCATTACAAATTGTACCAGGGAAGCCCTACCCATTACAAGTTGTACCAGGGAAGCCCTACCTGTGCTCTCGCTGTCGCTCGCAAATGTCGTAAATTACGAAATTTGGACAAGATTTACGAACAAAGTAAATATATATTAGTAGGATGTACTAACACCTTTC